TGACGAAGCCTAATCAAGCCTCAATAAAACCGGGGGTTGTACATCCTGATCAAATGATTCAGGGTAAAGGTCTCGTCCCCAACCTTATCAGTAAAATAACGGAGCATCAAGACTATCCTCAAAAAATAGGGATAGATTTGACCAAGCGTCACCTAATATTTGTCGCAAAAGTCAAGAATGACCGGATCTATCTCCGGAGAAAGGGATCCAGAAGGCTCAGCCGAACTCAAAGTAAAGGGATAAGTATATACGTGGAGGAAATCGTCTTTTGAATCCGTTATGTTCTCATCAGGGTCAGGAATCTCCACCTCCACTGCCTTCTTCCATCGGTAGTCCTTTTTTACCGTCCCCGTATCGGTCACGACACCAACGTACCGGGACACGTGTTCCCATTGGCCTAGTGTAGCAGGGGAAATATCGATCGCATAATCTTTCGACATGTCAAGATCGGGGGGAGTACATTGTCCCAGAGTGGGTATCACCTTCATTTTCTCCTTAGACGACCGAGGTGAAGAGGTGACTTTGTTCGGCCGAGGAACCGTCCTGGAAGTTCTGGCCATTACGACGGTAAAATTTTCTCTAAGAAAGTGAAAAGGGAGAATGTAAAAGAAGATGGGTCTGGATCCGCGAATTTGAAGATGTTTGGAAAATAAGGATTATCAAAAGGTTTATGTATTTATAGGAACAACATAGGTAGCGGAAGGGACGAGCCAATAGCGGTTCGTGAATCTCTCGATAGTCGCATTTGACGGCGACCCTTGCATATTTTTTGGGACATGAAATTTAATGCTCTGATAGGTTGACGTCACGGCAATGATGTCCTCGGAACGGAGGCTCAAAATCGTTTCATATCACTTCGTTCTAAGAAACGCGGAGACTATTTGTATAAGGCAAAATTGGAGGGTCCAATTTCTCGTCATTAAGGCATTTCGGGGGATCACCTCGAGACCTCAAGGATGCGAGGCTGTGGTCGATCTCCCTCTCTCGAGGTTCGTTGATGCCCGGCCTAACGACAATGTTTTCCGCGATCATGATGGGAATGGAGAGCTCCCTAGGCATGCATCTAATATTGGCATAGCTAGGTGCCATCTAGTTGTCACATCCCCCCACTTTTGTAATTAATGCTTTTGTACTATGTTGGAGTTTCCCTCTTATATAAAGGGAATCTTTGACATTTTGTAGGGGCTCGTCTGTTGCTCCATCCGCTCCATAAGAAATATAGAAAAACATTCTCTTTGCTCTCTCATACGCTCTCTTGATATTATTGCTTTCATTTACTGTCTTCATATTCGTTCATCATTTATTGCTTATAATTGGCCATAAAGAGCCTTCGTTGATTATTTCATAACTGTTAGCCCTACCTCGATCACCCACGATAGCTCGAGTCCGAGCTCTGGAATCGACTTCGAGGCCCCAAATCGACCGGCTCGAGGCCATGAATAGCTGACCCAACGGTTTGGTTATAGTCCTCTCCCTAACTTTATTTCATCTCTGATTCTCATATACTCTGCATCAACTTCTTAATAAACTAGCATAAAAATAGATCACGTATTTTTAGAGTCTCATCAACAAATTTAATTGTTATTATCATTTTCACGGTAAACACTCTTCAAGACTAGTACCAAGGTACATATATACTACGTGAGGTCTTCTTGTCTCTTGATTGACGTGAATCTTGAGAGATTGTAAATCCAAGGGAGTTGATCCTTGAAAGGAATCGTAGAATGATTCTTTCCAAGAATAAGATTGCTTCTGTTGATTTGCCTTGACTTGTGGTCTTGATTGGACTTTTCCTTTGCTAAGCAGATATTTCCGTTATTTGATAAATCAAATCAGATCCTTTGACCCCGGTTTTTAATTGTCTTCCTTTGATGGAGGAATCTTCAGTGCATAGTTTCGTAATCTTGGCTTCATTTAATTTAGGTCCTTCCTATATTATCCTCCATTAATCTACTGCCAAATCCTTGATTGATTTTTCTTTCGGATTTCCGCTACTCTTTCCTTTTTCGTCTCTAATCTTCGAGACTTCCTTTCCATTGCTTTAGAAGTGTTTCTGGCTTTCTGCATATAAAAGATGTGTTATTTTACATTATTAAAATAAACGTAGATATAACACCTAACCCACTTCAAATTTCATTGGGCTTTTAAGGAAATTCAGTTAGTTATTTCTCCCGGCCCAATCAGAAAGGCAGGAAACAAATTATAGAAAGTAAAATTAGAAAAGTTATTGAGCAAACCTATTTGACAATGAAATGCGAGCAAACCTCTTACTACATTTAAATTTCTGAGGTCGTTAATACATCTCCGATTGTCAACTTATGAATATATGTAATCCCATTGAACAATATAGCCTTTTTCCCTCTTGTATTCAGGAAAAAAGTGGAGTAGTCTTATTCCCTCCGATTGTCGTCTCCCACCCACCGCTATCTACCCCCCCCCCCCC